TGGAGGAGCCTTACCGTATGGGAGTAAATGGCGCCAATACAATACTATAGGGAAATGTCGGCGCCTACAACACTGCTTTGAGCTCTGTTGTGCGGGGAGGTTGCAGAGTAATCTGTTTATGCAGTATCTGTGGTACGGTCCTGCATCGTGGTTTGACTTGTGCGCCGCTTGTTTTTTTCTCCGTTCGTTCCTCGGTCCTTTCCCAGGCAGGCGCCCCGGTCGGTTGGTCCCAAATCGCTCTCGATCGTGTGAGTCGGAGAAGAGCCGTGAACAGGGGTTTGGCACATCTCCGGTCGGAGACGTGGGGTCGGAGTCTGAAGCGGTGTTCAGCCTGGCCTTTCGGTCGGAGAGGCCGTCCGGAGGCGGGCTTGAGACCGAAGCGAGCGCTCCAGTCGGAGAGGTGGGTCAGAGTCGGAAATAGACGTCGCTCCTCTTTGGCCGGGTCTTCTGGTCGGAGATTGGATCGCTCTTCCGGCCTATCGCTCAAGTACTCGGGCCGGCCCATGAGCTGCGCGTGGTCTGCTTGGGCCGAACCTTCGTTTGGGAAGCCGGTCCACGAGAGACCCCGGATTTATGAACCCTACAGCATTGAACCCATTCAATAGTATATATCTATAAATAGCTTTTAGAATTAATTTAAAATTCTTAATGGTACATAAATATTAAATTAATTTTAGTATTTTTCTAAATTAAGGAATATATATTTATTGATGTAAATTATTTTATATAAATTTATTTAGTTCTCTTTAGATAATTAGAAGTGTACTTTGATTTAGTTCGCTTTGGTTAACGATGTACTTAGTAGTAAAATTTTATCATGTATGTTAAATTTTACAATATACATTTTAAGTTGATTGAGTAAATATCCAAATAGAAATCCGAATCCGAGACATCCGTTTTCTATTCGTATTCGAAAATATCCTAATCCGTATTTGTATTTGAATTAAAATATGATAAAAAAAATCCGGATCTGATTCCATGGGAATCCGATCCGTTTCCATATCCATATTCGACAACATGGTACTACGCATTATTTACAGCCGCCGCAGCATGGCTGGCTGTAACTCCTTCTCACATATAGCCGCAGCAGCCGCCAGCCGGCTGTGTAGCGAACATGTAGATAAATAACTGCACCTGCACAGACACAGACAGACACAGACACAGCTAGCTGTTGCTTGTAGCGCCGTGGTGTAGCAGTGGAGTGTAACTTTCACTCGCCCACTCACTGAAAGTAGCTGGATCGGCTGCTCCCTGCTTAGAGCAAGTATTATGGAGCCAGCAAGGCCGGCGGGGAGCACAGCCACGTCAGAAAAATCACTGCTGGCGGAGAGAGAAAAGGAGAGAGAGAGTGGAGCGGGCGGCTAGCTAAACGTCGACTGAAAGCCGGCGGATGCGCGCGCATGCAGCTTCATTGGCTGCGCTACTGCTGCACTCACCGTTGGTTGGCTGCATGTGTTGTGTCAATGCTGCTGCTGCATTAAATGTTGTCCACGCTGGCGTTTATCCAGCCGGCAGCCGGTTGAACCATAATACTTGCTCTTATAATAGCCCCGGTGGCGCATGCATGATACAGTACTACACAATTAAGCTACTGCTGCCATTACATGCATGCATTTAACAGTGCATTAGCTGCAGGGCTCGAACTGGAATAGTACTACACATATTCCTACGTGGGATTAGCCTTACAGGCTGTTCGCTTGTGCTATTCAGCCGGCTTTAATCCGTACAAATCAGCGTTTCTCTCTTATAACAAACTAGCTGTACAAATTAACAGAAACCGATTTAATACCAGCTGAACAGAGCATTAGAGGGTAGTAGTAGATCGAAGTGCGTTGGTATAGTGAATTAACATCGGCAGGCAGCAACGCGGAGGAGCAGCAGCAACGGGCCAACGGCAGCATGCAAGGAGTAGGTCACTGTGATGGACCGATCATTAATCCCCTATCAATTGATTGGCTCTCGCACGAAACGGGAGGGTAGTAGCAGCAGCAGACTAGCGGTATGTGGTGGATTCTGCAAAGTTGGTGTGCCACTCATGAGACTCATGTGTGCGTACTGCGTAGGTATGCGAGACTATCGTTTGAGTTCCGGCGGGGATCGGAGAGGTCCGGATCCCGGCCGGGAAGAGAAGAGAGAGCAGTGGAGATGTGTCGTGCATATGATTGCAGTTTCCAAGGCCAGGTTCTCTCGTCTCCTCTGTGGATCAGGAGAGGGATAAAACGTGTTTGTTGGACTGTTGGTTACAGTCTGACGTCGTGAGTTTTGGTAGCGACTGCCGTGTGCATCTGCCAGTCAGTCAGCTGAGCCTGAGTGAGACGGGTGAGTTGCATTGGCTGGAGTGTCGTGTCGACTGTCAACACCGAGGGAGCGAGGTTCCACTGACTAACTGACGATCGACATGCGTGCTTGCCGGCACTATCAAAGGCAACAACACGACGTCCAACTTGTATCTGAACCTGTCGGAGTGCTTTGACTTGTAGAGTAGAGCTGGACCTGTGGCCTGTGGGCCACATACTTACTATCTGTATCAGATGATGCACTGGAAATGATACTCGTCTCATGAGTCTATTCTTCCTTTTTTATAGGATCTGTCTACATGACATTCAGTTATTTTGGTCCTACCGTCAATTGAATTTTTCTCATACACTTACACCGTCTTCTAACTATATTTACACTATCTTATTACTATATTTACAATGATGTCTTCAGTGTAATTTATTAGACCGAGTGATGTAAGTTCGGAATAACAAATATATACTAAATTTTTCAAAAAAACATACAAATTATTTCCATGGATTCCAGACACAGAGAAATATATGTCAAATTATTCACAAATTTCAAAAAAAAACAAAATCTTCACAAAATTTCAAAATTCCGTGCCACGCTGTCGCCACCGACGCCGACACCGAGGAAGGCGTAGCGTCCGGCCTTGACTGGTACTCCGAGACATGGTACTACCACATCTGTTGCTGTTGCTGCTGGGAGTTGCTGCACTTGCTTCATCGTCATCGCCGACGAGGTCACAGCGGGGAGGCCGGCGCGCGGGAGAGAGAAGAGTGGAGATGTGTCGTGCATATGATTGCAGTTTCCAAGGCCAGGTTCTCTCGTCTCCTCTGTGGATCAGGAGAGGGATAAAACGTGTTTGTTGGACTGTTGGTTACAGTCTGACGTCGTGAGTTTTGGTAGCGACTGCCGTGTGCATCTGCCAGTCAGTCAGCTGAGCCTGAGTGAGACGGGTGAGTTGCATTGGCTGGAGTGTCGTGTCGACTGTCGACACCGAGGGAGCGAGGTTCCACTGACTAACTGACGATCGACATGCGTGCTTGCCGGCACTATCAAAGGCAACAACACGACGTCCAACTTGTATCTGAACCTGTCGGAGTGCTTTGACTTGTAGAGTAGAGCTGGACCTGTGGCCTGTGGGCCACATACTTACTATCTGTATCAGATGATGCACTGGAAATGATACTCGTCTCATGAGTCTATTCTTCCTTTTTTATAGGATATGTCTACGTGATATTCAGTTATTTTGGTCATACTGTCAATTAAATTTTTTTCGTACACTTACACCGTCTTCTAACTATATTTACACTATCTTATTACTATATTTACAATGATGTCTTCAGTGTAATTTATTAGACCGAGTGATGTAAGTTCGGAATAACACAAATATATACTAAATTTTTCAAAAAAACATACAAATTATTTCTATGGATTCTAGACACAGAGAAATATATGTCAAATTATTCACAAATTTCAAAAAAAAACAAAATCTTCACAAATTTTCGAAATTCCGTGCCACGCTGTCTCCACCGACGCCGACACCGAGGAAGGCGTAGCGTCCGGCCTTGGCTGGTACTCCGAGACATGGTACTGCCACATCTGTTGCTGTTGCTACTGCGTCGACATGAGTTGCTGCACTTGCTTCATCATCATCGCCGACGAGGTCACAACGGGGAGGCCGGCACGCGGGCCGTACCCCAGGTTGCACACGTACCGTGGCATCTGCAAGTCCACCCAGAGATGGGAAACGCGATCGATCAGATCCATTGCTCGAAGGGCTCAGGCGGCGTGACGTTGCCGGCATCCGGCAGATCGAGCGGCAGCTCTCGGGCCGGAGTCAAGATCCAACGCTGGAAATTTCGGTTGACAGTGGCAAGTAAATCATGCGGTTGACGTATGACGTTTCCGTTTGCTGTATATTACTCTAATACCCTAGTAGCACTACGACCTCTCAAATACTACTATATATCAATCAAGTACTACTATCACCTGGAAAATGTGTGTAAAAAGAAAGAACCCGGGCCAATTTCCAGGTCCCGTCCTTTTCAGAGCGAGAAGCAAGGATCACCAAGTATGAGCTCGCGTCCACAGAGCAGCACAGCACGCAGGTGGTCGCTGCTTCCTTGCGCGATTGGATGGACATCGTTAGCCAATAGTCACCACAGGACGCACGCAAATCTACAGCGCTGGAAGGGAGACGAGAGATTTACACGTCGGTTTTTTTCTTCTCTTTGACCGGAGAAAGGAAAATTCAAAAGCTGTATCCCCTGGCAGTGGCAGTGGCAGTGGCAGTGGCAGTGGCACCACGACTGATCAGCAGCCCGCACCACACTAGCGCCACTTGGCTTGGCTGGGACGGCGCCATGCCTTAGCCTGACCGATCGGACGAGAACGAGACGAGGCGAGATTACAATTACTCCGGCCACATGGCCGCTAATCAATGGCGGCTTAACCCTAGCTACCGTGCAGTAGTAGTGGTGGTACCGATACCCGCAGCCGCAGCGCGAATCAGGCCCGGCCTCGCCTCTGAAACCTCGGTGGATCCATCACAACTCCTGTTTCCGCGCGGGCCCGGCCCAAAAGCGCTCGTGCCTTTTATATCCTCGCGCCGGCCAATCGATCGGCCACAGCACCACCGCCCACACGCAGACGCAGAAGCTTCTTCTTTCTTTCTGCTATACTAGGTGCTACGTGCTAGCAAGGCATCAAGGCCGACGATGGAAGCAGGGTCGGCGGCCGAGAACGGCGGCGCGGGCAAAGAAGGGTCCGGCAGCAGGTTCAGGCGGGTGTGCGTGTTCTGCGGGAGCAGCTCCGGCAAGCGGAGCAGCTACCGGGACGCCGCCGTCGAGCTCGGCAAGGAGCTGGTGAGTGAGCACAGAGCACCCGCACGCACGCCGTACCCCTGGCCCCTGCATCTGCATGGCATGGTGGTGTTCTGTTTGGTTCGTCGACCCGCCCCGACCTGGGCGTCGGTGCCTGACTGCCTGAACGTTGCACTTGCACAGGTGGCGAGGAAGGTGGATTTGGTGTACGGAGGGGGAAGCCTGGGGCTCATGGGGGAGGTCTCCGAGGCCGTGCACAAGGGCGGCGGCCATGTCATTGGGTCAGTCGCCTCTCTTGTCCGGCCGTTCACCGCCTCACCAAATTTCTGTGTCTCGCGATCATCCATCTGACTGACTGCTTTTGTTTATTGCTGCTGCAGCGTCATACCCACCACTCTCATGGGCAAGGAGGTGAGACGAAAACAGAGACACACGCACGGCACGCGCGCGCGCGAGGGGCAGAGGCAGACGCAGCAGGTTCTGGCCCGCCCCGCAGGCCGCAGCTCATCTCTGTCTAACTGTGGCCGCGTGCGTGCCTGCAGATCACCGGGGAGACGGTGGGCGAGGTGCGGGCCGTGGCCGGGATGCACCAGCGCAAGGCGGAGATGGCGCGCAACTCCGACGCCTTCATCGCGCTCCCGGGTACACCTGCCCTGCCTGCCTGTTCGATCACCTTCGGTCCCTCGACTGCACACCAATCTAGCGACCAGCATCATATCATTGAGCCGGCCGAGCCATGGTTTGTTGGCTTGTTGCAGGCGGGTACGGGACGCTGGACGAGCTCCTGGAGGTGATCGCGTGGGCGCAGCTCGGCATCCACAGCAAGCCGGTGAGCGCAGACGACGATACGATACCTGGCACCCACACACCCACACGGGCACACCCTGTCGTGGATGGACACACGGAGGCAATGCAACTGTACACTGCATGCCTCTGCACGCCAAGGGCATGGACACACATGCACTGACAACTACTACTCCCACAACACAACTGTGTCTGTATGTGGCGCAGGTGGGCCTGCTGAACGTGGACGGGTACTACGACTTCCTGCTGGCGTTCATCGACAAGGCGGTGGACGACGGGTTCATCAAGCCCTCCCAGCGCCACATCTTCGTCAGCGCCCCCGACGCCAGGGAACTCGTCCAGAAGCTGGAGGTACGTTGGTAAACACTCGGCTCGCTACAGTGACTAGTGACCCATCACCCGTGCGTCCGGCCGCTTGCACGCTCTCTCCCGGGTCCCGGCCTACGCACGCGCATGGGTTGGGGGCGCATCTCATCATCCAAAGCCGCGCGGTCGTCCTGGCGGCCTCCTGGTTGGTTGAAGCCAGTGGGTGCGTGCGTGCGTGCGTGCGTGGCGGCAGCGCGCCTCCTCGCCTGCCCGTCTGCCGCGGTGCCGCGCCCGGGACTCGCTGGTGGTCGTCCTTGATGGATGATGACTTCCTTGATGGATGATGACTTGGTCAGGCCTGTGTCCTGGCACGTACACGTACACGCACGCACGACCTCTTTTTTTGTCTGGTCGTCATCCAAACACAGCTACCCACAGCCCACAGGCGGAGGCGGGCAGGCGGCAGTGTCACGCTCACGCTCGCCTGCCTTTGCGCCGGCCCTGCCTGCCTGCGCTCGGCTCCCCTGCACGCACGCTCCCAAAAGCGTCCAGATTCTCTCTGGTAGGAGTGGTGGTACAGCTGCTGAATTGAAACAGTCTTAAGCAAGGACCGGCCGGTATATATCTATAGTAGCTTATACTATTATATTATTATATTATATACAAAGATAGTAGCACTACTCGTAATAACTTTGGTGTGTGTACATGTGGCGCCTCTCCTACTGAAACCAAGCGTGCCAGGTGTAGCCAGAAGTTACTACGTGTGATAACATGCCCGTCCATGCATGATGCGTTTCTGACCGTCCGTGGAAACCAAAATGTACATGCATGCAGGAGTACGAGGCCGTGCAGGACGAGGACCCGGCGACGCCTGCTGCGGTGGGAGATCGAGCAGGCCGGCTACAACGCCTCGCTCCTGGCCGAGATCGCCCACTGATCGGCCGCCCGGCCGATCGATCCCTCATCTCAGTGGCTCTCGCTCCACCCATCGCCTGCCGGCCACCACCGCCTATATCCACCCATCCATGCGATCATCCCGCGCGTCAGCAGCAACATATGATGTATTTCTCTCCTTAGCTAGCTAGCCTGGGCATGCAACAAACAAGTTTGACCGCAAAAGCGGGGCGCCGCCGAGCAAAACGCATGTTCTGCTCCTAGCCTGCAGCGGCTTGGTTGTCTGTCCTGCTACATGTATTCTTCTCCTAGCCACGTATTCGTACTAGTTTTCCTAAGCTAGGTACCCTGCAGATCACGTGTTGTTTACTACCCAGTAGCAACTGTAGTAGTACTAGTTAGTTGTCCCGGCCCCTTATTAGTCCCTGATCATGTATTTCGGTGTAGTAGAGAAGTCATTGGTAATCTGGTAATGTAATTGACCACCAGCTAGTAGCTGCAAGATTTTTTTTTCGAACCGAATTACACAAATACAGACGTAGACGCTCAACACGCACATACACTCACCCCTATACTGCAAGATTATTTGATCCAGCACCTCTCTCACCTAATAGCGTATCTGCGTTTATCTTCCTCCGTTTGCTCGTCACGCGTGATGCGTTAGCAGTAATTTTGGCTAGCAAGATGCCCACGCAAATAGCCACACGGGTAGCTACTTTTTCTTTTTTATTATACATTTTTTCTTTTCTTATTACTTGGAAAAATATTTGACTATTTCCAGCAAGCTACTGATCTCAGGCATGCCACAACAAAGCCCGTCTGTTTTTATGATCTCAACCCAAATTGAGTTTTATCACCTCTACAACAAGTTCACCCCTTTCATGTTGTTCTTCGTGGTGTCTAGATCGACCAGCCAGTTTGTTTTCCTTTCCTTTCGTGGGTGATGTAGCTTATTTCCTAGTTGCTTATATTTTGATCAATGGTACAATTGTAGTTAGTTTCCTGATGGAACCAATAACTTCAAATTATGAATTTTTTGGGACTGGACTACTCTTGGTTAAATCTATAGTGTTAGATAGTCATTCAAATCAATGGTGTATATTCTTTTTTTACAATTAATCTAGCTAGATTGTTAAATCATCATAAAATCCAAAGCTATATGTCGTTTTCCTTTTCCCGATTAACACGAGAACTTCAGTATGTACTTTTAGTATACCAATTGTAGGCTCTAAGCCACTAGTGTTGTGCCATCTAGGCATCTAGGGCACCTCGTGTAGCCATCATTAGGGAGCCCCTCCATCTTCCTCCTCCATGGCAAGGAGGTGGGGACTCAACCCTCATCTATAGTTGTTCTTTAGGTTTAGTCTAAATAAATCTAATGATGAAATCATCGCTAATGTTTAATTGAAAACTTGTTACCTACAATGACTTCAACAATAGCCACAAGATCGCTGTTGCCGAGATCAATTTCACCGGTAGGAGGTAATTTATGATTAGTTTCTGTAATAGCAAGGGTGCTTATGGACACTTTTCGTAGGGATACTAACTCCTGGTCATCGGTCTTATCATCAATGGCCGCAAGAAGAAAATCAGAAGTAAACTTGATGGATCAAGAGTCAGAGGTACTCAATATGCAACCTGTGGTGTGCCCGATGACTCAACTATTAATGTATTGGAGTTGGTTGGTGCATTCGTTATAAAGAGTGTACTATGGTTTCAATGTTCAATGATACTTTGTTCATCTCACGACACCGATCGTCACACCGCTCGCTTACTGGGCTTGTCGTAACGATCGTAAATTTTAGCCGAACAGTATTTTTTCTCTCACACAAATCAGTCAACATTTTTTTCACGAACCAAAGAATCGAAACGAACCAACCAACCGAACAGGCTGTGTATCGATCGAAGCCACTATGGAAAAAGATGATAGAATCAACGCTGACTGTATCCATCAAAGCCAAAGCCACTATAAAAAACGATGATAGAATGACTGATAGAATATTATTATTTTTCAAGGTTTTTATGTATAATTTTGAAGATGTACCTTGCCCGAGTTTCAATATAATTTCCCCATTCCTTTAGAAGAAAAAAAGGTATACTACCCACATGTTCAAAGTAAAAAGCACTAAAGCGTACAGAATACCTGTACAGTCATCTAGCTGAATATCCGCACATATGTACCAAGGAATATGTCAATGCAACACGTGTTAACACAGGTCGGTTACATACTTACATGTACAGGGACCCCAGCCCCTCCACGTACGCCTAGGGAAGCACGCCCAATTGTTCGGCTCGTACGTTTCAGAGCGGGATACGCACGTACTCCTAGCGTACAGGTACGTGCAGGTCGCAAAGTAGACGGGCCCGGACGAACACGCCACGTGTCTTTCTCCTGCTGTAGCACACGTCGGCTTATCCGGCATGCCTCTGTATAGTCTGTACGCTACGTACGCTCTCGTGACGGACGGGCGGGTGAGGGGTGTCCACGGTGCACTGGCCGCATGCCGCTTTTGACGTACGTACCTAGGAGTAGTGTACGTGAGGTGAGACGTGAGAGTGGAGTGGCCGGGCCGAGTGGACGGCTGCACTGCGACAGCTCAGCAGCGGTAGTGCGGACTGCGGAGTGCTGCCTGTGCCAGACCCAGACAGACCTTTTTTTTGTTTTTTGATCAACAGACCCAGACAGACCTGGCACGGCGCACTGGCGCAGGCGGTAGTTGGGTCATTGGGTGCACCTCCGTTTCCGTCAGCCCTGTCCCGCCGGCTGCCACAGACGACCACAGGCTGGCTGTTGCCTCATTGTTGCCGCTCGATGAGCACGTCGCACGCCATCTCCCTTTCTACTTTGGCCTCCGTCCCGGACACCACACCACCGGCCAGCGGAGTCCATGAAGCTTGCTCAAGCCCCCGGTCCCGGATACCACTACATACACAACTTGAGCTGCACCTTACACTACGTGAAAAATAGTTTGTAGCAACGGAATAATTTTTTTAGAGGCGGCTGGTGTTGGAGTCGCCCCTACAGTGACATGCTCGGAAGCCCAGAGATCAGCCGCCCCTACAAATGGAACAGCAGGGGCGGCTGGTGATACGAACCGCCCCTACAAATGGGTCTGATTTATAGGGGCGGCTCACTCACCAGCCGCCCCCGGTGTTTTTATTTGTAGGGGCGGCTTAATCACCAGCCGTCCCTACAAATGCCTCTGGCTATATATTATAGAGCACAGTAAAAAAAATATTCTCCAGCTTCTCTTCCCCTTCCCTCTCTCTCTCTCCTCTACGCTCTCTCCCCCTCCCGACGCGAGCAGCGGCCAAGGTGACGGCGGCTGGCGTGAGCGGGCCAGCGGACGCCGCAGCCGCCCTCCTCTTCCTCCACGCCTCTCCCCCCTCGCGCCCCCTCCCCCCTTGCGCCGCAGGGGCGCGGCGACGGCTGCTCTCTCGCATCCTCTTTCTCCCTCCTCCTCTTGGTGACTGCAGTTTGATCTGTCGACCTGCTTCGTTGTGGCCGTCTGCCGTTTCAGCGTCGGGGTGGCCGGATCGGCATGCTCGTCGG